TATATATATAAAGTAATGTTGAAAATACTGTCGCTTTTCCAATGTGGTCCTTCTAAAATAAAATAAATGTTATTTTGAATAACATTTTTTCAGAAAAATATGTATTACGAGTATATGCACATTTTGTTTTTGGAGATGCTGGCTCTGAGTCAATACAGAAAAAGAAAAAAATAAATTCATTTGCAAAGCACAGTTAACTCCCTGAATAAATGTGTAAGGGGGAATGTAATTTGGCAACACTGGAAGAATGTATATTTTGAAACAAAGGTTTCTTTTGGAAGCTTGTGTCAAATTAGTTGGCCATGGATTGAACAAGAATAATAGGCAGTTCACTTGTATAAAACCCAGCTGCTGTCTGTAATATTTGGTAATGAACTGCTTTTTGTATATGAAGATGACGACACTAACCAACTGGAAGTATGGTATGTGCTGGGAGTAGCGTCTCCAGGAGTGAGGCTGGATTATTTTGATCTTCCACACTTAGGGCCCAGCCCCTCTTGGATCTTTTGTACATATTTGTGCAAACAAGATATAGTCTGTGACCAACTAAAAGATTCAAGCCAACTGGCACAAAAAAAGACTCAAATCCATGACTCTGGGCTATTTAGTCCTGCATTCAAACACACTGAGCTAATCACTCACACATTACTGAAAATCACCAATATGTATAGTCCCTGAAAGTCACAAATAATAATTCTGTTTCTTATTCTGTCTTGGCTGTTGGTGTTCCATTGCATAACAGTTTCAATTTCACATTATATGACTAGGTTATGTTGATATGGACCAGATTTCCTGTAACATAGCATGTGCCTTTTTTCCTACCAATTATTAAAGATAGTCACTAAGTATAGTGCCTGTTAGTAGTTATAGATTTTTAGAGAACCTGCAAATACTTATAACTCTTTTATTGCTCTTTAAATTTAAGACAACAAGGAATATGATGCCTATCTCTCTTACACAAAAGTGGACCAAGATACTTTAGACTGTGACAATCCTGAAGAAGAGCATTTTGCTCTTGAAATACTGCCAGATGTCCTAGAAAAACACTATGGATATAAACTCTTCATCCCTGAAAGAGACCTGATTCCAAGTGGAAGTAAGTACTTTGAAATTTAAATTTTAAATGTTTGGTTTCTTTAAAGAAAGTTATATGGAGACTTCAAACACCAAAGCCAAATATTTAGACATTTGTTTCTCACAGATTTTATTAAATTCAAATTTCTACCCAATGCCTATGTTCTGATATACGTATATATTAGATTTTAAATTGAAGTTGTGCCTTGATGGCATTATATTTTCTTAGTGTTCTTAGAAAATTATGATCCTTAATAATAATAGTAGTAATAATAATAATAACAATCTATACAAATCAAAGGTTTTCAATGCATTTCAATTCTATACTTGTAACTATTGTTCCAAATAACTCCTGATCTATGCATTTAAACCTTGCTACTCATTATGGCTTGTTATTCTTTCCTGGAATTATGGAAGGAAATGTACTTAAAATGGTATATGAGGACATTGCATAGAGCACTTTCACTGTGCATTCAAATGATTTTCAAGAAGTGATGGACACTATGGATTTACCTCTACATTATACTATACATTGGAAGCTATAGATGAGTTTTAAGAATGAATTACATTTCCAGTCAAATAATGCTGTACAGGGTAAGAAGCCTAAGGTATGATCCCTGCCCTCACAAAACTTAAAATGCAATAGGATGAGAGCAAACATAGTAGAATAAGTTTACATATATGTTTATATTTTCTTGAGATGAGGAAATTGAATTGGTAATTTAGGTACATGTTATAATAATAAAATAAAAAGACATATTTTCAGTAATTGACACTAGGAGTATATGAAATGCTTTCACATACATTCTTTCATTTTATCTTTACAATAATTCTATGTTATCAAAAAGTATTATACTCTTCATCATACAAATGAGAAAGCAAAATCCCAAGTCCAAGAATAGACAGCTGGCAAATGATAGAGGTGAGATTCATACGTAGATCTGTTTGAATTTGGTTCTCATTCAGTTAGATCATGCTATTCTTCATTGACATTTATTTAGATTATCAGGTGTCCGCCACTGTCACTAAACTGACATGGGACAAATTGGAGCAACTGAATTTTTGTTAATTACTTTCTCAGGTGACGTGTGCATTTCTGTATGTGTCTGTATACATGTGAGTATGCACGATTACATATGCATGGAAAGGACAAAGAAGATTATGTTTATTGATCTATTGTTATTATGATCCACAAATGTTAAAAACCCCAAGATTCATACGATGGTCTACAACTCTTTTCTTTCTATAATTTTCCCCATTTCAAATACCACATATACTTTGATCTTTGAGGAACATCATAATATCTCAGAGTTATTTGTTACTCTCCTGTAATCTCTCTCCAAAATCCAAGTTTCTTTACATTTTTTTCATTCCTACTTGCACTATACTAATATGTTGTTGTTGTTGAATGTCATCGAGTCAGTTTTGACTCATAGATACCTTGTATAGAGTTTCGGAGGAATGTCTGGTGAGCTTGAACCGCCAACCTTGAAGTTCAAACTGACTTTGCAGTCCAGCACATTATCCCACAGCACCACACCAGGACTACTTATTAAATCCCCTCTACAATATTGATTATCTCTCTATATTTCCTAACTTTCCACTGATCCAGCCTCACTAATATGTACTCCTCTTTGATCTGCCACTCCCCTGTTTAATAGCCTTTAATTGTTCCAAATTTCTTGTAGGGTAAAAGCCATATCCCTTAGCTAAATACTTCTACGGTCTTGTGCCAGCCTAGATTATCACCTAACCTTTTTCTCTCACTATTTCCACTACTCATACCTTCTCCTCTAGCCTAACTAGTTTGTGCATTTGATACATATTATATATCCTTACTGCTTTCGTTCATATTATTCTTCTCTGTCTTTACACATTCTGTTTATTCTTTTTGCTATCACTGTCTCCATGAAAAGTTTATAATAGTTTTTCCAGCCCTAGAGTTCATGGTGCATAATATCTTAATCACTTGTTTGACTATAAATGCTATACTGCTGTGATCTGTGAAGTTTTTGTACTATTTTATGCAACTTTCTATAAATTTATGCCTTGTCTATTCAGCAAAATTATAAATGCCATGAAGGCAGGGACTGTATCTCATTTATCTTTACACCCCTTTTGTCATCTATCAAAAGTCTTTGGGTGCTCCAAGGATGCTTGTTAATTTTATTTAAATAATGTTGATTTAATACAGCAGTAAATTATGAAAATAAAATAATTAATGGATTATATTTTATATGGCATGATCTGAATGGTATTTTCTCTTAGCAAGATGAATGTGAGAGTCAAAAAAGATATTTCTACTGAAATAAAAAAAAATATATATATATGGGTAATCCATGGGAAAAATTTAAGTCTCTAAAACAAACTAATAAGCACATTGTCTTTTTAAAAATATATATATTAAGTTACCTATAAGGATTTGAACATTTATTGATAAGATATTAAAGCATTTATTTATCTAATTTTTGGTATAATTCATTCAATTGCTGTGTGCTTTGTATTTTTTTGCTGAGTATCTTCTTAAGTGTGAAAATCTTCAAAATCCACATTCAGAGTAAAACTATCCTAAATTGCATTAAAATAAAATCCTTGCCAAACTGGAATTTCTGTTATATGTCAAGTCATCTTCAACAGAATTCAATTGGTTGCTGGCCTTTCTGTTTTCTCGCATTCCAAAATAGTTAACACCACTATCAACAGTTTTTATCAACTCCATCAAGTGTCAGTCTTCGTTCTGAACATTTCAACATTGAATATCTTCCTTCTAAACATTAAAACCTTGTTTCACTGCTAAACATATTAGGAAGTAAAATGGAGACCACATGGAATACAGGTGATCTATTTTACATGGGACTCAGTAGATGACAGACACTTGCTTATTGCATTGAAGAAGCAGAGACTATGCATGGCTGAGAGTGGGAGCAAGAAGGAATCTTCACACAGTTGTGTCTTATTAGAGCTCTGGAATTGGCTACTAAAGGTATAATAGAATATTTTTCACTTCACTGAGTCAACTTGTTGTTTGGCTACATTGGTTGAAACCAATTAGTTGGTGTGTCATAGTGGTGGCAGTGGCAGTGGTAGTGTGTCATCAAGTTGGTTCCAACTCATAACAACCCTGTATAGTTTTCTAAGACTGTAAATATTTATAGGAACAGAAAGCTGCATCTTTATCCTGTGGAGCAGATGGTGGATTCAAACTGCTGACCTTGTCACTAACACATATGTCCAACACATATCCCACTATGTACCAGGGTATATCATTTAGTGTTGTTAATTGCCGTCGGGTCAGTTCCAACTCATAGTGATCCTATATAGGGTTTCCAAAGAGTAGTTGGTGAGCTTAAACCACTGACCTTGTGTTTCAAACCGACCTTGCGGTCCAATGCTTTATTCCACAGCATCACACCATAGACAATATGATACACACCAGTGTGTATCATACACAATATGAAAGTTCTCCTTGACCGTGGAGTATTAGGTTTACACAAACCTCATTTCCTAATTCAAAATTATAAGATTTGATTGCATAAGAGAAATCAAATATAAAAACACTCAAGAAGATATTCTCCAGATGGGCAATATCACTTTAATTTTATTGAGATTGTTTAAACAGTGGACTGAGCAGGGACTTGAACCCTGAGCACTAAATGGTGCACAGGAACATTTGTTTAACAAAATAAGCCTTTGGGACAACTATGCAGGTTTTAGATGCAACACTGGAGGGTGTTTGATTTTAATCCATCCTACCTAAATGAGGAAATTCATGTTCTTTGAATTCCGATTTGCGAGTGTAACCTGCAGAGGTTCTTAAAAAGGCCCTTTGACAATTTTTATTTTCCATCAACATTTCAGAGCTAACTGAGCAGTCACCATGTCACGATTAACGAGTTTTTCCTTGGCATTTTTAGCACGCATTCAGGAAGTTGATGAAGTATATGAATAATATACTTGATTTACACATGAATGACAGAGTAGAACATTTTAGACTTGGTGTATGGTGTGTTATTAAAGAAGCTTCTGTGGTTTGTATTTGCAGTCATTGGTGCAGAGTTTAACAGGTTATGCTATATAAATATAGACACATTCCTGAGGGTGGGAACTAGTTACAATATTATAAGCTATGTTTGTCCCTCACATCTCATTTAAAACACGTTGACCCAAGACTACTCCTTCCTTTAAAAACTAGAAATGAAGCCTTTGAGGACTGTAAAAGCAGACTTCATAACATCATTCTTGATATATAACAATAATTTTGTCTGAATCAAGATAGCAAGGTCTGTGAAATGAACCTTTCGTGTTAAATGTTTTATGATGTGTCTTCAGTTTCCTTTGCACTACTGTCATGATACTCCAACCCAACCTCATCAACACACAGAAAGTTCCCAATGTGCATGAGTGGGTCTCTCTTTATTATAAGTTTCCCCAAAACTTAGATACAAACATATCACTTTCCAAATTGAACTGGAGGTGTCTGTGCTCTTCTCACTTGCTCTCGTAGGGAGACATTGTCTTTTGATCATCATGAACCAACAGAGAAGGAGACATTTGATGCAAATATATTTTCTTGCTGAAGCTGAGTCTTCAGATCTGGACATTATTTTCCATTCTTGAACTTATAGCTAAAATCTACCTTCTGTTTCTTCAGTTTTGGTGCCTGAACATGGCAAGAATTCTTACTTTCCAGTAAAACTGTGTTCTGTCTCTTCCCAGGCTAGAAACATCTGTCCCTGAGAATAGCAAAGCAATTTTGTTGCCAAATAGGCATCTTAATGTCAGAAGTGACAGGCAACCAGAGAAAGCCAGATAGAAAACACCATCCCTACGCAAACTGCCTAGAGACACAAATTTGAGAAGTAGAGATTTTCTCGCTCCTGCAGCTGCTGGATTTTGTGGTATAAAGTACTCTACACAGAGCACATTGTGTTCATGGGGCCTAGTGGATCCTCGAGGAATGAACAGATGTGCTCTGAAGCTGACATATGACCAACAGAACCCAGCTGTGCAGTTGAGATCCTG